TTTTGCGGACCGGCAGAGATTTTCAAAAACTCAACCTGCTGCGATCCTTCAATAAACCAAGACTTGCCATGCAAATCTGTCTGAATTTTCCAGAAACACACACACACGTCAGGAACAGTATCAATTGAAATTTTTGTAAATATTCATACTTATTCTCATAGCTAACAAAAATAGGGATTAGACTGGATCATTATCTTCTTTATCAGGAAATTTTCTAAGGTCCAAGAGACACGATATAATGTTGCTCAATCTGTCTTGGTCATGAATCAGACAGATTTTGCGTTTTCCAACAGTATTGGGGTGAACATTTTGCCATTGGTTTTCATGTTTTGAATGTAGAAATTTTCTGTATACTACATGCTGAAATGTAAGATGAGAGCAGAAGAGTAGCCTATTGATTGAAATAAGCCAGATCCAGCAAGCAGTGAGTTAGGAGAGGATGTTATTGAAGCAGTGCTGTATAATGTGTGTATTCCCCAGCACTGAGCTGGAGGAATCCATTTCATTCCATTTTTCCTCTTTATTAAATAAAGCCACAATTTAACTTAACTATATAGCTACTGCGTATCCCAATAATAAACACCCTTGTAATTGAGGATTACAAAAGGAGGTAAGAAAAGGATTGATTCCAAAGTTTTCATTCAAATGGCTTTTGTGACTGATTGTTGACACTCATACAGCTATAAAACAAAAACCATTTGAAAAGTTAATTCAATAAGCTTTCATTTGGTGTTCATTCTTCATTGTTGTAGCTTAATTTTGAACAGATCAAGATATCTCAATTCAAAAAATAGGTTCAATTTTTTTGGCCAACCCTGCATGCAACACATATGATTCAAAAAACATTTTCAAACAGTTGTTCCACCATGTTATCCTAAAATGGCTTTCTTTACAATAATTGTCACTTAAGGGTTTCGCGTCTTTGAGAAAGAAAGTACAGTACAGTTCTGTATCTACATTTCCGCGCTAACCATCAAACTTGCAACGTGGTGAAAATCTTTGCTTCCTATTCACGCAATGGTCAACAATGAACCTCGCACACAGCAACGAAAAGTGTGTACAGCAGTATAATACACATTCAGCAGGAGCAGACAAATATGGATCATCATATCATCGTCGCGGACGTTCATTGAATAATATAGTGTGGGTGCTATATAGGATAGTATACAGTACTGTGTAAAACTGTAAATCATTCACGAATTGCGGATAATGATGATGATTCATTTATGCATGCAGCCATGCCATGTCTATATATCGACGCGAGTGAATCATTTATAAATCCAGCAGTCTGCACACTGAGTCCAAGCGTTTGGTTCTCCATCACTGAACCACATGCTGATTTCTCTTTTTGCAGTTTCCACAGCATTAGACCCATGGACAATGTTTCTGCAGCACAGATTTGCCGATTGAAGTAACGTTTTCCCTTTAAAAATATTCTGCTGATGAATTAAAATTTTCAGCAATGTTCAATATTAATTTGCTGTAACATCATGCAGAACGAAACTTATTCTTGCAGCTGGATTCAGCTCCAAGGAATTGCTATATACTGTTAAAAAAATAAATCAATAATAAAAATTTCCCCCAAACTTTGAAGATCTGTAAAAATTTTGCTAATAATTAAGAAAGGAGGGTGCTTTAAGAAAAGTAATTGTTCCCCAAAACAAGGGCAATCCAAATGTATCCTTCTACTAAACAATGAATGCTCAATTAATGCTTGATGAACCTTTGATGACCAAGCAATGTTCAAAGTGAACATCAATTGTAAATTGCTTGATCATCAAGGGTTCATTGAGCATTCATCAAGCTTTCATTGTTTAGTAAAAGGAGACATTTGGATTGCCCTTGTTTGGGGGAACATTTGCTTTTTTTTAAGCACCCTCCTATCTTAATTAGTAAACTTTTTACAGATCTTCAAAGTTTGGGGGAAATTTTACACATTTCTTTATTTTGTAATGGTTTCTAACAATTCTTCAAAGCTGAAACTGCAATGTTTGATTGAATATCACTGTAAACATCATATTTCACTGTGATGATCTTGTGAACATAACATAATCACTTCATTCAAGTGATTATAATTTTAGCACAATTTATTGAAATTATTAGTCAAAAATATTGAACCCATTACAATAATGCATTTCAATATACATATTCAATATACATGCATTTCAATATACTGTACATGCCTATACATGTGCCTTCCTGTTGCCAACCCATTGACAATGCATAATGCAATGCCACTGAAAATGGCCTCAACACTTTTTCCAAATAGCATTTTGAATATGGGTTGCCCATGTGTGGTCAATGCCAATTTGAGAATGCCTGTTTTCCAATGTTGGGAGAATGGTATTGCCAACAGCTTCAGATTCCATTCCCTCAATGTCAATAACAAAAGATAATTGGCTGCAATCCTCACCATTCTGACAATAGCGCTGCAACAGCATTGCCAACACCATTATTGAAACGTCTGCCAGCCCAAAACCCCCATTCTTTGCTGGGTAGGGCTTATGACTCTAGTAAATACCAAGCAGCTAACAATCAGTGAATCCTCAATTCAGGAAATCATATAGATGCACCTTTTTGTGCACAGTGGTGCCTCTTGCTCAACAAACACAATTGGTTCTGGACCTGCATTTGTTAGACAGAACACTTGTAAGGCAGGTCACACTTTTCCTCAAGGATCAAATGTAAACCACATTAATTGGTTCATGAACAAAAAAAAGGGACAAAGAAACTTGAAAATTTGCCTGAATTTTCAAAAAACACAGAATAAATTTGTGAAAACACTACTATAGTTCAATCAGATGAGTTTCCTTGTGAAATTGTCTTGCTCTCTTTCAAAAATAACCAACAAAATGTATACCCATTTGTAGTTCATGCATGAGTGACATCCAGATAAAGAGTAATCATTGAAAATTATTTCTTGCACTGGATGTTGCTTCTGCATGAGGTGCAAAGTACAATATTAGTGTCAAATCTTCAAAACTACACCTTTCTTATATAAATTTCCTCATTATTTTATTGACACAGGACAGAGCAAATCCAAAAATATAAAAATAAATTTTGACAGAAAGTGGAAGAAGAATTGGGCATACAAGCCCTTCCCTTCAAGTTCAGCATCCCATCAAAAACTCATCATGAAGTGATTTAAGGCCCAGAATATTTACATTTCATTATCTTCCAATTTTTCTTTCTTCCCCTTAACAAAAATGCTCGGAAAACAAGCATTTATATTGAAGGAAAAGATAATTTCATTATCTTTTTGTTATTCATGATTAAAAAGATAATAGGGGATATACTTCTCTGGTCCAAAAAAGAAATTCTTCAAACTTCAGCGCACATTTTTCAGAGAAAATTAGATGAATACACGACATATATTATATTTGAGGACATCTCCATGTCCTACACTGCCTACAGAATGCAGTGATTGGTAGCATAATTGGTGAGATGCTGGGCAACAATGCAAGAGTCACCTGGTTCAAATCTCCCACCTCCCCTCTGAGAAACTTGAACATGCACCGCAACACAGAAGTGACACAGCACACACACACTTGAATTACTCATGAGAAATTCAATAAAATAAATATGTCATGTAATTAGAAATCCACGAGGATTATACAAAAATAACATTTTGTGTATTTCTAAAAACTTTTTCTCCCATAATATTTCAAATTTTTTTATTCGTTCGAAGCTAGCTAAAGCAACTCACTAGTCACCACACAGCCATCTAGCACTCCAATTGGATTTAGCTCCCTAAAATACTGGGGCATCCATCAGGGGAGCAGTGGAGGAGCTGGCGTCAGCTAGGTAGCGAGGAGCTAGCACTGACTGCTGGTATATATAGCTCTTTCCAGGAGCTAGATTTGGTCACCCAGCAGGGGGTTAGGGATAGCTCCAAGGGCTAGTGTGGGTTAGGGATAGCTCCAAGGGCTAGTGTGGGTTAGGGATAGCTCCAAGGGCTAGCATGGGGTTAGGGATAGCTCCAATAAGGGCATAGTGTGCTGGCTGCTACCTATTGCCTAGAAACACAGCTCCTAACTTACTTGCTGGACTTAGTGCAATGAGAGAGTTGTGTTGTTCATCATACAAATCCAATAAAAGCCACCAAAATAAGGTGAAGTTGGAGGAACAGTTTTAAAATCCGTTCTCCACCAAAAAGGTACAGCCTTGTAATGATAGTTTCCTCTCTTCTTTTGATCCTGTCTTGTAAGATAGAGAAAGATTCTACTTCCTTAAAAAGGATAACAATCTGTTCAAGGGTGCTGCTGTTTGCTAAGCAGCAGAGAGTTTGTTGAAGCGGTGGGAAATCAAAATGTAGATATACAGTAACTGCTTGATTCGTGTTTCAAAAATCACTCATTCAAATACCAAAAGTTATCAAGGATGATGTTTCACTCAATTCCATATTGGTTTCTATGATAAGCGGCTCCAAGTTTTTGTGAGTAAAAATTCTCTCCTCACTTGAAATTCAAAAACGTCAGTGACAAGTTACTGCGTATGGATGGTTCTCGCATCTCGCGTGACATCCTGCCAATCAAGGACAAAAAACTCTTAGCTCTACATTAGCTCATTGCCACGCATTGAAAAAGTAGCAGTCGCACCAAAAAAGCAGCAGTCTTACGGCAAAAAATGAAGATCTGCTGTCTTCAACCATTGAAGTTGTTTCAGGCTCTATCCTTCAAGTGAGGCTACCTATATCTCTCGATGGCAGCCTTATACATGCGTGCTTGCTTCAACATCTCATGCACATTGTATTGACCAGCCCTGTTGAAGTTCCACAAGAAACCTCTGGTGCAGTCACGACGCAACGCGAGAAACGCAATATTTGTGCAGGCCATAAGTGGCCTACACAAATGCGGAACAGAACAGAAAAACAAACCAAAAAAGCATATCACTCAGTTTCATTCTCACTACAGTATACCAATTTTTGAGCACATCAACGCGTTTTTGAGATCCTTTCACAGAGTGCTCGTTGTTCGTGGGCTGATACACAAGCGGTTTGATCAAGAACTTCGGATCACAATCCCAGGGTGCTCATTCACAACAATCCTATGCCATTCAATTAAATGCTGCACAGGATCGAACGTCTTGCTCTTGTGGGGGACAAGAATCTGCTCGAACTTTGGCTCTACGTTTAAACTAATGGGATGCGAGCTGGCAGTCCGAGTGGACAAGCCCAAAATCTTGGCCTTGTAATCTTCTGGTAAGAGCGGGTCCTGTCCGGCAGCGACCATCCGGACCATGTTGTCCACAGCCACGATACGCATACTTTCATCCCATTCCTTGTCCATAATTCCAATTTTACACCCCGCCGGACCTGTAAAGTCAGAGAAGACAGAATTCGTCATTGGAATTTTCTTTTCTAGCTGCGATAAAAAGGAAAAGCATTAGAACATCGCTTTCTTCGTATAATGTACTGTATGTTCAATGGTCTGCATGAATACTCCCGAGATTTAAAAAAATATATCAGCGATCACCTGTATTAGGTTCGTTGAGAAGTTCATTTTCTTCGGCCATTCTTCCAGCACATACATGGATTACTTTATCAACAGCCCTCACCGTAAAAAGTTAGATTTTTCAACAACAAAAATTGCACTCGAATGTCAGCAGAAGCTTGCTTCAACTGGTCATGCGAGACTCAGTCGACTCAGCAATCAAAGTTGAGGCAGCGGCAAAAAACGTTCAGTCACACAAATCCAGCTTTGAGACGCTCGCGGTATGTGACGCGTGCCAAGTCATTTTCTTCAGGCCGACCAATTGCCAACCAAACGGGCTCTCCGACAAACAACCTCTTAACCAGAATGCAGTTCTGAAAGAAGACACGAACATTAGATCAGAATAAATGGCTTTTTCACAACATCCGAACATCAATGAAGGCTAAAAATGTCCCCTTCAATCCCACTTCAGCCCTTCAATTTTCTACCGAACTCACAAGAAGGAATGAGAGCTGAAAATTAATAATCCGCATATGTTACTAAAAAGGACGGAAAATGCATTCACGCGAGAGTTAACCAAATTGCTTATTCTGGTGCATTCTCTGTAGGGCAAGATGTACAGACATTGCGTTCAATAAGGTTGGAGAGTGTTTCATGGCGACGAATTCCGAATGATTTGATGGTATTCGCACGGGTTTCAAGACTTTCACGCAGCAATTCATCCGTCACAGATGCCTCATATGTAGCAGAGCAAAAGTAGTCTCAATTGTTTTGAATAGGGCTATCATGGAAAAGGAATTAAACTTGATTCAATTGCATTAAAATCTAAGAATACATACACGAGAGGCTTAAAAAGAATCACTCTGAAGCAAAAATTACAAAGAAAAAGTCCTCTTCAACTTAACTTCAGCTCACAATCTTCAGCTCACAATTTTCTATGAGCGAGTTGACGAAAATAAAATTCAGCGAATAGAAACTGGGAAAGGGAACATCAGAGACCCTCCGGATGCCTTATTGAAGAAGAGTTCCACTCACCTTAGTATCCATCGTGAATCTGTGATGAATGCCAGCTGGAAGTACGATCAAATCTCCAGCTTCGACAAGAATTCGAATCCACTTGTCTTCCTTATCCCTGACGTCGAAATATCCTGATCCAGCCAATACAAAGCGTATTTCTTCGTCACGATGGAAATGCTCAGAGAAAAACACTTTCAACTGCAACAGAAAATAACCGTTCGTTCAACAAAAGGAAATTTTAGCCCCAAAAATCCGGGAAGCTTTCATCTAAGGGGTGATACAATTGTCGAACCGGGGGCAAATTTCGCCACATTTTCTCTATAGATGATCTTTTCCAACTCGCTGACGAACAACAGGGAAAAAGTTAAAAGAGACACACAACAATTTTTCCAAGTAAGACTCAAAAACACATTGAAAGTTCCATTGAAGTAAGATATCCTAATTTTGATTAGTAAACAATTCGATTCTTCAAAAACCTTTTCTTCGTAGTTCTCCAAAGAATCTGGTTCTATCCTGATTTCATCCATGTAGGAGTAATTCCTCTGCACTCGAATACGGTCCAAATCTTCGTCGAAATTCTGAGGATCCAGCTGCCGATTTCAAGCAAATCAATCGGGTTTCCCCCTCCGAACAAGTGCAAGAAGGGAACACTCACCTTCCAATACAGAACGCCAATCGTCTTCAGATCACTTTCGGCAACAGGCTGTGGAGGAATCAAGGCATGTTCAAGTCGAGGATCTTTGTCAGTAGCAGTCTCAATATCAGCCATGTACCAGGCACGCATGACTGCAAGTGCGGATAGACCAACTCGAAACACGCGTTGAATAAATAAAATTATCTACACACGGGGCACGAAAAATAAAACGTCCACCTTAAAATCCTCGTGAAAAAAGGCAGAACAATACAGTACAGAATTGCCGCAAGCTCAGGCGTAATCCATTTGCAGTTCGGGATGCTTGCCACGTACAGTCCACAGGAAAATAATTTGTTTTCATGTTCTGCACATACACAGTACAATATTTCATTCATCTTCCGGCGAAAATGAACAATGCGGCACTTCGATTTTTCTCTGCCATGATCGCTCTCTTGTCACACCAGCAAAGATTTTCGGGCAGCTTCGAGCACATCTTTATCGAGTTGAACTGTGCATACGAGAAAATTGCAAACGTTCAATTTCAATTTGAAAACAGGAATAACGCCAGAGTTACGCACACAGACGATGTTTTCCACGAATCGGAATCTGAATCCTCATTCGCTTGGGATTTCCGCATACGAAGACAAACGGAGAAGAGCTCTCTCCGTCAGGAAATTTTTCTCGGTACTCTTCTTGAGAGAGAACGTCCACGACATCCACGCAGCCCAGGAGGCAGCCTGAAACGTACAGTTCTCTGTCGCTATCCGGCAGTCTTCTCATCCAGTGAGCGTCTAATAAAAAGAGAAAGGCCGACATCAGTATTATTCTTTTGTCCCTCTCGGAGCTATTGTGGTGACATGCATCCGCCAGCAGATCAATGCGGTACACTTTCACGGCAGGTCTTGACGTGAAAGAGGAAAATCCGAGTACGAATAAGCGTAACTACAAATACAATCACGAGATTTGAACAAAGCGCACAAACACTGACCCCCGTAATGATTCCGGTAGAATCTTTCCAGCTCCACGACGTCTTCCCGCGATACCGGCTTCGCCGTCGACGCGATCCACATCCGACCACGATGACTCGAGTACCAAGAGCGACCTTCGTGAAGTTTCACGCCCGCCACAAGAAGGGTGGCCCACGGCTGATGCATGCTCAAGCACCAACCCATGTCCGACATCGTCATCAACTCTCTGTCCTGCACTCTGGACACGTCCGCCTCCAGGAGCCAGCGCTTCTTGTCCATCTTCTCATCTTCGGGGAAATCACTTCCCACGGCAAGGTACTGGATAGTTGGAAAAAAACGAATGCATACCGGGAACCGATCAAGCCTTTTCAACACGTTGCTCAGAAATGCTAGCGAAGTCTTTGCCCTTCAGACAGACTCAACTAAATAAAAGGAGATGAAAAAGATGCAACGCGCATGATCAGAAAACTTGACCGGGAAGAAAAATCGCTTCGGAAATCTATATGCATTCAGTCAGGCTATCAGCAGTTGTTTTATATTACACTATACCAGTCAGAACCAGAAAATCAATCTTGTCCAGTGCAAGTGAACAACCCATCATCAGTCTCATGAAGACGGCTCGTGAATTTTTCTTTAAACCCACAGAATCTAGATCAACGCTTTGGGAGAGGGGATGTGGAAGAGAGGAGGGCTGACGGAAAATTTTTGCACTTCGTCGCTCGAAGATAATGGAGAACTCCCGGGACTTGAACCAAGAGAAAGCGATGAATGCACACTGACGAAACATTCAACAGAACAGATGAATCGTTTTCCTTCTTTTTTATGCATCATCGACGCATCGTAAATACCGGTTACCCCTTCGAAAGCCAATGAAAAGAGTGATGAACGCCTGCCACGCGGGTTGTCATCTTCTAACACACAGCTGAACTAGATGAAACTAATGCACGCATCAGACTTTCAAGTGCGCAAGTACGCTGGTCTTGATAACACCTTAGTCCTGATCGCGGAAGACAAAAATGCGAGGCGAACATCGAGGATTCGGGATTTCTGGACGAATTACACAATACCAAGTAACATATACTGTCAAAATCATCACACGGCGTTGAAACAAGGCGAAATACACTTTAAAAATTCAAAAGATAAGGTTTCGGGTGGACGAAATGAAATTTCCTTCAACAAAACAAAACAAGCGACTCTGTCAGACCATGATAATCGTGAATTGAACTAATTAAAAATAATTACTTTTCTCGAAGTCGAGAACTCTTCGGGGGGCAACATTATTTGGTTATCTCGGCGCATTAGGACGGTGTGACAGGGTTTGATAGCTCGAAGAGATGGCTTTTTTTTTGCATTGGCAATCTCGCACGACAAGCTGGTTTTTTTTTTCTCAAAATACATAAAAAGAGAACAAGAAAATCGCGAACTTACTCGAGGTGCGTGCTTCACTGCGCCAGCACAAAGCATCCGGTCCCCTGAACTTTTCAAGAACTGCGACCCCGTTACACCTAATAAAGCTTCGTTGGTATCACATAACAGCTGGTTCATGTCGTTCGGTTCCCGCGAATCTTCTTGAATAATTTGTCGGCCAGCGAAGTCCAAAGAAACGCACACCTTTCGCTCCGACCTTTTCGCGTGTTTCTTTGCGAACACCTCCTCCGCCTTCTTCATCAACTCCTTGCGTTGTTCAGCACTCAGCCACACGTTCGATTCCACAGCAAAGTAGTCTAATTCGTCATCGATAACCTTAGTCCGCTGTTCACTGGAAATCGATCAGCGAACATTTATTAAAACCTTCTTTCGAACTACTTAACCAAAAGTCAACGAGAAAATTACTTCATTTAAATACGCCGAAAATTGTGACCAAAAAAATACAAGTTTTGCTCTTACCAGTTCCTATCGAACTCCAACAATTTTTCTTTATGTGCGACGGCCTTGATTGCAGCCAAGTCTTTGTCGACTGCTGTCCCATTTTTCGGTTCATCCAATCCAGCGATTAGACTCCCAATCGTTTCAAAACTGTCCACCGGCTTGAACTTGTCATCGGGAAACTGCTATCACAACAGAAAAACGGGGTTCATCATGAGTACCCGAGATACAGTATAAGTGTCGCATTTGCATCGAACAGGGTGGAACAATATTGAGGGTGGAACAATATTGAGGATGTAAAATCTCGTGTCCCGAAAGTTCCCTGATGAATAATATGATGTATTTTACTTGCAAAAAGTCAACTATTTTCCGAAGTTAGTAAAAATAATCATGGTGCATGCAGAACTCGACATAATTAACCATGAATCATTATCGCGTCGTCGATAATTCTCTAGATGGAAAAAGGTTATGAAACACATGATACGCATGAAACAAAAAATTTCACAACGCACTTTCCTGAATCCTGTTCACTCTTCATTAGTTGAATTTCCCCACGCACGTTGTTTTTCCAAACAAATTGGATTATGGAAACGGAACAATGGTTCATCTGCAGCACCTCCCGAACAGTTGAATAAGACATTAAAGAAAAGTGCAACATTGGTACTCATACGATTTTCTTTTGATTAATACTAATTTCATAGACCGTTTTTAATGTACAGAAATGTACAAAAAGCCCGGATACAAGCCATGCTATATCTTACGAGTGTTAAAGATGTTAGTCCAAAAAACTTGACATCACTCAAGGGGGAAAAAAAACCAGAATGATCTTCTTCGTGGTTCAATTCCAAAATAACGAATTACATCGCTGCAGAGGAACTGCGGCCCAACATTGGTCTTTTTTTGGTTGGTTTAGATTCAATTTACACTGGCATTGAACCGGTTTTTGCCCTAATGATGAATGTATGTTCTGCGAAGACCATCAAAGGATCCTTCAATGGAATTCTTCCTATTGTTGATCCAAATCTCATGATGATCGCAAGGTAATTTTAGCACTGTACTCTGCAGTATGCTTCACAGTATGCAACTATGATGGCTGTTGATAACTGCATCTTGGGAAACACATTTCCAAGAATGCGTCTCAATAATGCTTGGATCACTCACCGGCGTAGAACAGAAAAAACAAGCCCCAAGCCCCTCCTGCTCACAAACGACACGACCGCAACGCAGGCAGTTGCCGAGCAATTTATGTTTCGTGGCTTGACATTCACATGAGTGTCGCCCTGCAAAAACCAAGAAGTACATTAAAATTCGGTCTCAATTCGAATCTACAACAAACCGGGTTGAAGACCCCCAGTCCCCGAAGTCAATATGCCACCGATCTTCGTCTTCTTTTTGGCAACTCTCGAAGTCTCACGCTTGGTTTCAGCCTGCTTCTTGCCCAAGTTGGCGTATTTCTCATCCAAATCATCCCAGTTTTCTTTCCGCATTTGACAACACCACGTTTTCTATGAATAATACGTGATCAGAACTACGTAAGAAAACGTTTCGGGGGATGAATGACTGAACAGGACGACGGTAGCTCTCAAAACTACAATGTGCACTTCTTGCAACCAATCCCAGTGAACTTCATACATCATCGCGGACGAAAGCCGAACATCTTCTGGGCCAAATCGTCCTGCAATTTAGGATCCAAAGCTGCATACTGTCCTATTTGCATTGAGAAAGTTCCTAATCCTGAACATAGTTTCCGGAACGCTGTCGAGTAGCCGACAAGTTCAGCCAAAGGAACAGCTGCTTTCACCACCTGCATAAACAATCATAATTATAGCAATATCGTTCGTTGTCGAAGAGGGACAAGAAACCAACATGATGATAGTCTCACTTGAAAAAAATCGATGAAACGATATCTTGTCTCTATCAATAAGTAATCAGCACGTGTGTTCCAGAAGAAATCAACAGGAAATAATGATTACCTTGAGATCCTGTCTCGACCCGATGTTGCTCAAAACGCCCCGCCTCGTCGACAAATCCGCCAAAATCGGGGAAAGATAGTCGCCGTCGACAATTATTTCGAGATCCATAATTGGTTCCATCACGACAGTTCCAGACTGCTTCAAAATCTGACATACAAAGACCGTAAAGACCACAGGCGTCAAGCTTACAACTTGCAGGTTACCTGCTGAACTAGAGTCGCTGCCGCAGCGGTGATCATGATGTGTGAAGTTCCCGGACCAACCTCAAACCACTCCAAGTAAAAGCCAACACCGATGACCTGAAACGCGACACAAAGCTCGATCAAACGACAATTATGGGCCACTTCCTACAATGACACCTGGATTACGCTATTGCTTAGCGGGAAGCACACGCTACTTATTTTTGTCCCCTAGACCTTAACATTAATACTGTACACCTACTGTACATCGTCCCAACTATTGACCCTCTCTTGATGAGCCGAATATCGGTACATGAGAGTTATAAGTCATTCTATACTGTAATTCATCACAGCTCCCTCAAATGTCGTGCAACGTTTGACACACACCTCTTAACCGAAGAAATTGAAAGGAACTGGTTTGTTCAACCACTCACTTGAAACCATGAATTCTACAGATAAGCTCTTTTCACAACCGAACAAGGCATTGCAGCATCATTAAGCCAACTGAGTTACTGAGAGTTGATCTATCAAGCTAATCTCGCGAACGACTGAATTAACTTTCCTGGTCAATGTCCAAGCTTTTCACTGGTAGTGGGAACGAAGACGACATCTTCCCCATCGATTCTTCCTTAACGTTTCGATCAGGAGTGCTCGATATGCAAGGTTAGCCGATCAATGAGAGCAGGTGTTTTGTTAGCAGCACAAGGAAGTTTTAAAGATTTTTTTAAATGAAGTATTACAATGCCAGATCCAGAGAGTCATTCTAAAGTGATGTACTGTACTGTAAAAATTATGATATCCGCGGATAAATGCAGGCTCTGTCCAAAAAATAAAATAAATACTGTAATAATAAAATATAATTGACTTGTGCGCCTCTCGCTGACGTCTACACGTTTTCACACTCACGGGAAAAGACATGAACGGCCCAGCTCGTAACGCACCCTTCACTCCATTTTCTATTGCCTTCCACTGGTAGGGCTTGATTGAGGCCAAATTGTGTTCATTTTCCCCAGTCCGCCTTGGGTTCACGAACTTGAAGCGCTTCCCGTTCAAATTTTGATCATCCGCGGAAAAGGCAGTAATTTTCAGGACACACAGGTGCTTTCTGTCATCTGAAACCGTAGTTAGAAAAAAAAACGCCTCGATTCGTCACAACGGATGATTGCTCGCAAAAGTCGTCACTAAGTCAAGACAAACAAAGAACCAAAAATTGTCGGCTCACCAATAACTCGAGAAAACGTCAAAGCATCCGTAACGCTTTGGGCAATCGTTTCTTTGTAAGCAACTTGCAATGGGCCCATGTATGCATCAACACCAAAGTCTCTCTTGAGACGATCCATCGTGATGTCCAGATGCAGCTCTCCCATCCCTAAAGCATGGGAAAATAACTCCCACGTAATCGCCACTTTCGAGCCACGGAATTATCGTTATTCATTATGCAATGTTGTGAAGTACAGTAAAATATAGAGTATCTTGAAAGAGGACGTACCCCCGAGAACGGTTTGACCGGTATCTTCATCCAGTTTCACAGATATACTTGGGTCTTCCCTGCAAACTCGTTCAAGCGCTTTGTCCAATGCTTGCTGCTGCACCGCGGATCCAGCTTCAATTGACGAAAAGAACACAGGCTCCGGAAAGTTGGTCCCGCAAGTCAGCAACAAAGCTTCAGTATCGACACCGTCCGGCAGCGAACTGCACAACAAATCACCCGTACTCGCTTCCTGTATAGTTATAATTAGAACTAGGCGCATACGCAAATTTTCTTAACAAGACGAAGTCGAATGCTATGAAATAGTGCCGGATAGATTTCGAATGTGCTAACCTTGAGACCTGTCACAACGGCGATGTTACCGGCAGAAACCGAATCCACTTCTTGCAACTGTTCGCCAAACGCTCTATAAAGCCTCAACGTTTTCTCGTGCTGTCCAGTTCTAGTGACAAGTAAGCGCTGCCCCTAAAACAATAATCAATATTGCTCAACTTTCAAAGGCTCCGTTCCTGGCAACTTCATTCGAAGAAACTGAAACGAATCTTACCGGTTTCAGCATCCCAGAAAAGACTCGTAAGAACGTCAGATAACCAAGGAGAGAATCGTAAACAACCTTAAAAGCAACGGCGCAAAGTTTTCCGCGAAAATGTTCAACGAAATCGGGAAGAGATTCGTCCGGATTCGGTAACAAATCGACCACAGCATCCAACAACGGCTGAACTCCAACATTTCGCAAACTGCTTCCCAAATACACGCAAACTGCTTTCTGAAATAGTTCAAATCCAAAGGTGACACGTTGAGGAAAGAAAAAAATAGGTGTTAGAACGCTGATTGATAAAAGGCGGTCGATCAGTAATGGCTTTAGCCCTGTGCTGTATATCTTATTCTAGTCAATCTCAAGTTAAGAGCTACTAAATTAATATTTTTACTGGATTTTCGACAGCCGTGAAAAACTACTTCGAAAGGGTCAATTTTTCAGTTCTCTTACATCGGAAGAAAAATTGAAAAATCAGAAGGAAGGGAAAAAGTTCAAGCGGCTTCAGGAATCAAATACCTCCTAAGCGATTGAAAATCAAATCAAATATTTGAACATTAAATTCTTTGCTCCACGTCTCAAAATGATATGTTTTCGCATAAGAAAAAATATTCTTTCCATTCCTCCTTTAAACGTTGCTGTTTAACGCAGACAAGCGCTGCGCCTTAGTTTCCACTAGGAAACCTGCAGAAAAGTGGTGTGTCCAAGTTGTCAGGGTATAAGTTTAAAAAAAATTAACATAATCAAGAAAGCAGTGGTGCTAGCCACAAGTCTTCAGGGGAGAAAATTCGGAAGAAGAAATTATACTTGGTACTTATCCCGTTACAATGCTTCAGGTCATTGCCATTATTCGCATGATCCAAGTTAATACACCATTATTTGAAGAAAAGAAAGAAAATTTTAAACAAGCTAAAACTTGGGTGCGCGTATTTCACAGGGAAAGGTTTCTGGGTTTTGCAGCAAATGATATGCCAAAAAATGAAGGTATGACGGGCGCCTGGAGTTCGATTAAATATGGTAATACTGTATATATATTTACTTCATATGGTACTATATATATATATATAATACTAGAATGACTAGGTCGCGGTTGCCTGAAAAATCTTACCCTTGATAAGGTTGCACGGCGCATTGCTGCCTGTACGTCGGAAGTTGAAATGTCATTCAAGCGTGACGACTGAATTATTTTCGTAGCTATTTCATCATCCACGTCGCTCAAATCATGCAACATACTTTCCCTCCAACGAAGAGCCTCATCATACAATTTGGCGTTCTTTCGCCAATCGTCAATCTGCGTTTCAGTCATTACCGTTAGATTTCGAGATGAGTCCTCTTTCCATAATTTTTTTTTAAGACTGACCAGGTCAATCACCCCTTGAAACGAAAACGATGCGATATTTTAGTAGATACAGTACTGCACCACAATATAAAAGCTATAGCGGATCTTACCACAAAATTGTTTCCCAACTCCAACCGGATACTGGGTTACGATAGGAACGACACTCAACTTCTCCTGAATCGATTTGACCGAGTCAGAAACGTTTGCTTTCTCCTTATCCATTTTGTTCAGAAGGACGCAACTCGGAAGCGAGTACCGGTTTGCTTGTTCCCACACGGTCAACGTCTGTGCTTCCACGCCTGAGGCAAATAGAAGTTAAAAGTTCAGAACGAGCTTTTCCAATCAGATCCAAGGCATTTTCTCAACTATTGCAATTTCAAATTGTTGCGTTTGTTGGAACTGAAGCACAATTACTTCCAGTAAAACTCGAGAATCAAATTTTCATCGACTGAAACGATTTGACAGTAAATCTTCCCATACAGTACAATGATAGAAGACACCCTAATGGCCAACTGGTGGGGGTAACGGGTCCACCAAAATCACCACGTACTTCCAGCACCCGAATCATATGAAGTAATTTTACGTTACAGTACAGTGAAGTGCAACTATGCGACACTTTTCTTCTGCTCGACTCAACGACGAAGCGTATTGCATACCTGCTGACGCGTCCAAAACCGTTACGGTGGAATCCAGAGCGCGAAGAACTCGTTCAACTTCTACCGTGAAATCGACATGACCCGGGGTGTCAATGAGGTTTACAAAGGCATTTCGCCATTTGAAATTCACACCGGCGGAAGTGATCGTTATTCCACGCTCTCTTTCCTGAACATCATGAGAAACGTCAACAACTTCCAAGGTGTTCTCACAGCAAACGGGGTATCGGACGGCTGAATTCTCGAAGACACGCCACGAGCAACGCATTTCTTTCGCATTCCATTACACACCTGGTCGAGATAATCTGTGACGGTGTCTCCATCATCTACGTCCCCTATGCAACGAGTTGCGCCCGAGTTGAATAACATACGCTCCGTTGTAGTCGTCTTTCCTGATCAAACGCAAAAGCTAGCACGGCAAGGCTTCCCATAAATTGATAATCAATCGAACACACACCTGCATCAATGTGTGCGATGATGCCAATGTTCCGCAGCTCTTTCTCTTTTGTTTCAGTAGGCATAGCTTTCTTTGTTACGCGTAGCGCAGACATATACCTTCTGGCGCTGCTCAGGGTCAAGTCAAGTCGCAGTTTTCCCATCCTTTCAGGTCACCCTAAAGATCCATGCTTCAGTAATCAAAGAAATGTCATCATCAAATACAACACAAGTATGCCTTCTGGTTTTTCAAAGTCCAAACGACGCACAAGTAGGGCACGTTTTTTGATATCTTGTATTCTCTTGGGAATCATGAATTGAACACGAGTATTTTCACCACTATTGACTAGCCCATAATTTCAGAAATGAAAAAAAGGCTCCGAAAATCACAATAGTAAATTTCAAAGACAAGAGATCTAAATTTACCACAAGGACATACAAATCATAAGAGTGTCTCCCATAGTTGTGAGATCAACAAAGCGTTCATGTCGCACAAATAAATCTTGTGCTCCGTACATTGAACACTAACGATCCGCATCGTTGGACACATCCGCGAACTTCCGGAATCGCGAAATCTCATCAAACATCTTTCTTCTGAAATGACTCGCTTTTCTTCACGCCGTTGGCATGACCTGGTGAATTCATGATCTTGGTCTGCAAATAAGGTACATGAATGTGTTCAATTCCACGAACGCCATCTTCGAATAATGAGCAAAGGAAAGCGAACTGACCTGCGAATGATGACGCGCCCTAAGGTAAGTTTGGCGGTAGAAATTAGAAAATAAGACCAAGAAAGACATCATGTACAACACAAGGCTGTACTGCATCCATTGCGGGAAATCGCATCCGACGATCAGGGCTCTGATGCCCATCATCATGGCAGCCATGAATTGGCACTATAAGGGAAACGTAAAACCGAAATCACGAAACGAACGTCAAGCCGACGTCACAAAAAACTTCACTCACCAGTTGAACGACGGTTAGATACTGTTTCCACCACGCGAACTTCCTGAACCGCGGACCGAGGGCAGTGAGACAGTAGTACAGGTACATCAGTACATGTACTAGACTGTTGAACATGGCACCGAACACGGCTGCAAGGGAAATTAAATGGAACAGCTTCACAAGGTTTGCCAAAGCCTGATCAAGTGTTCGGGCAAAGCTCACCAGAACCACCGGCCACATATTTGATCCCAATCCACCAAAGCATGAACATGGTCGAATGATGATAGACATGCAAGAAGGTCAACTGAGAATCCTTTTTTCTCAAAATAAAGAATACAGTGTCTGCCATTTCGACGAACTTCGAGAAATAGTACCACCACAGAGCAGCCGCCACCTCACGAAAAAAAAAATTCCTTCCGTTAAACCAGTCTCTGCCCCCTCTTTGAAGCACAATATTTCGCGCACTCCTCATCCATGTGCAGTACACCGTGTTTTAATGCCGAATGGAACGAAAGGAAGTCCAGTAAAACGGCAAGAAACTCACCCTCATTTCCAACGCGTCACTGGAATAATTCACGGGCTGGCACTCCCAGTTGTAGCCTAAAGCTCGTTGCAGAAAATAAAGCTACCGAAACAAATTAGCACTCTCAATACCCCATCTCCAATAAAATGCAGCATGAATAACAAACCTCGCCACAGATATACAAGTTCAACAGACTGACGAACAAATTGTATAAGACTAGAATCCACTTGAGCTCAAAAGGTTTCTGATTCTCCATCAGCTTCGGACCCACTCGCACCATCGTGCCGTACATAAATGCAATGCACAATGTCGGCCATGGAGAAGACATCAAAGGCCAGTCTTTCACGCGCTTATCTGCAATTCGAAAATTAGTTATACACAACTGAAATCGTTTCCAATAAAAAGGTTAAAAATAAAATAGACATACGTATAAATGTGCAACAACAAAAACTGTTCAGAGACGGCCGTTTTTCACAAAATCAAACAAGGAACAAGGATGAATAGTGTACAGGATATAAGAAACTTCTCACCAGATATATCCTCGATCCATTCGGAAAACCGCGAATATTTCGCGGAGGAATCCATGACGAAATTCACCAAGTCCATGACAGAACGCCGAAGGGACCACAACTGATTCCGCAGCAATAACCGCTTACTTGAAGACGAGTATCAACAATCCACATCACAGCTCTTTAGAACGTGGCCTCAAACGTAGGTACACGCGCGCAAAGAATGAAACAAGCTCCGTCTGCGAGGGTCAATAGCATGCAGTTGTGAGAGGTTCAGCAACGAAAACATACAGTACATCGTTCCGAAAGAACATGCGAAGTTTGTCAAAATCGGCATTTGCCATCCACAAGGAGTGCTTCTGTTTCACACCGGATTACATGGATTCAGCGGAAGACTGCGGACATGCGACCAAAATTTTCGCGTCAAACAAAAGTTTCCCATGCGAAGCAGTTTTGCTTCCCAGACTCAAAGAAAAAAGCATGCTCAACCCGTCACACGATCCCTCCGAGTCAACGCAGAAGTTCCTTCTTCATCGACGTCTATTATTCTTCCAGGACATCAATGGTACCATTTATCAATCAACGCACGGACAGTTCTTAGTAACTGCGCCCAAAAAGGGTGTACGCAATTGGCTTTTTCGTGCATTTGGGGTGAACGCATTTCATTCCGTCAGCAATCTGTTTCGGCTGTTCAAAGGGGATGCACAAACTTTTGGCACCCATGGCCGGAGCACCTGCATCCGCGATTTCGTCCCTGGGCAAAAATAAAGGAACATGTTCACAAATTGAAACTTTTCATTCGAACAAAAATGATCACACTTGATGAGACGACACATGCGAGGGTTGATCAGATTCCGCATTCCCTATCCACCTTTACAAACAAGAACAGAACTTTTTACTTTGGAACATCTTTAACTCCTTGAATTATTTTTCAACGTTTTCTCCACATACTCCATTGCATACAGTACTTGGGCCATCCTGACTCAAGCCGCAAAACATTCAGGAAATGATCATAAGGAACCTTTCAGGGTTGATCAGATTTCATTTGATCATCCTTCATATCACTGCCATTGCGGATGAATCGCTCTACAGTTGATGTTGTTTCGAAGACTTTTACTTCGCACCTGGTTGATGTCACCCGATCCGCGGAGTGGTAAAACAACATCATGATTCGGACGTCGCGCCTAGAAGGACTCACTTTTCCCATGGGGCTTTCCCCGTTTTCATCACACACAAGACGGGAAATTTTATAAAATTTGAATTTCTCTTCAAATGGAATTTCTGCTGGATTATTGCACGTGGTTGACTTACTCGCAGCCGTTTCGTTAGTAGAAATGATTTTTTCCTTCCACTTTCTGGGACAAGATTCAAATGCTTCGTTCTTTAATCTCAAATGGGTGTCGAAATCGGCATTCGCTGCAAAGAAACCCGCAAAGAAGGCTTCCATGAGGGAAAATCACTTTTGGTCGTTTAAGAAGACGAGGTAACGCGGAAGTTGATCAACACTCTTATCCGAAGGCAAAAAAATAGTCTTGGTACAAATGGCCAGTTCAGTGGAAAAGAAGAACGAACAAACTAATGCCTTCAATAGCAAGAGCTTATCCTGCCAGTAACACAAGTTTATTAGGAAGAGGCACTTCGTACCGAGCGCTTTCCTTCTTGATCAGGTCCTCGCAATCCCCGTCTCCACAAAACGGAGCCATAATCATGTACTTCTCGTTCAACTTGTTGCAGAATTCTTCCCAGGAATCGCTCACAAGAGTAAAGGAGTCCATTTCCGACTTGGCTCTGACAAAGAATGAAAAAATGACCATGATGTTTGCTTTATCAGCTCGGGGCATCGGTAGAATAGCTCACTTGGCGAACATTGAGTCATGTATGGTTTCCAGCAAATGAGCAGTGTCCTTTTCTAACGATTCGCTCTTGTATGAGGACTTCGTAAGGGTATCGCGGCGGACAGCAACATACTCCTGATTCTTCATGTCTTTCGGTCCCAATTCAATGCGAATCGGAACTCCCTACAAAGCGAAAAAATCCACCGATCATGAATACCAACAACAAAATATAGAGCCTAGGTAACAAAGAAAGAAACCTTCAACTCCCAATGGTTGAATTTCCAACCAGGCGAATAATTTTCTCGCAAGTCGACATGTGCTCGAATCCCAGCTGTCGTCAAACGGTCACCGAACGAACGACACTGCTCCATGAGTGCTTTAACATCTTCTGGTTTTGTGTTAACCCCCACTCCGCAGGGCACAATAACCACCTGATCGAACGAGCATCAACACAAGAAAAATTAAATCATTCGAGAATTTTCATTCATTACGATTTTTATACATTTATATTTTTCGATTGGTGCGGTAATACAAGCCGTCACTCATAGGAGTCAAAAATTCGATCGTCTTAGATATATTTTTTTAAACCCTGTTCTTCTATAAAAGTCTGGGATACACTGAGTCATTAATCTAAAGTCTGCTTGAAATTTGCGAACAGAAAACACTCTTGGTCACCTGGTGAGCTGCAACCCGCGGAGGAAGTACGAGGCCGGAATTGTCACCGTGTACCATGACAACGACACCGATCGTGCGCGTCGTGATACCCCAAGAATTTTGATACACATGCTGCTTCTCGCCGGTTTCCGGGTGATCGAAAACAATGTCAAACATTTTCGAAAAATTCTGACCCAGGTGATGCGACGTGGCACCCTAACAAACAAAAGAATTGTTTATAACACCAACAGGAAAATAAAGACGAAATTTTACCTGAATACCACGCCCAGACGCTGATATGTATGCTTCCGTAGTTGTCGTGAAATCTCCGCCAGCGAACTTTTCCTTCTCGGTTTTCTTTCCGCGTATAACAGGTATGGCCAAGAGTTCTTCATAAATCCTTCGGTATAAATCTATTCAAAATCGAGGAAGTCTGAGTACTTATCAAACGAACTTTCGACGGCTAAAGATTCCCAAACTTGCAGAACTTCAGGCATACGACAAACCGGATAAATCCAACAACAAAAAATGATCATTAAAAGAAAATCATCTGAACCGCTTTCCGTACTGTGTTCAATTGCATGGACTCACTCAGAATGGTATACACTTCTTCTTCAGCTTCCGTTTTGTTAGCAAAAGCGGAGTGTCCTTCTTGCCAAAGGAACTCGCGGGTACGCAAGAATGGTTGCGGGTGCTTGAATTCCCATCTCTAAATCGCGACGAAAACATGGAACGAGAGTTAATTTCCTTCAAACAAGAAAATCATAAGCAATAATTTTCTGTAGGGGCAACGCACAACAACACTGTTCCACTGATTCAGCTTGATTGGCAGATCTCTGTAAGACTGGATCCATTTCGCATATGCAGGGTACATCACGGTCTCACTCGTTGGTCGAATAGCGATCGGCTCGGCCAGTTCACTTTGCCCGGATTTTGTAACCCAAGCCACCTAGATGATATGAAAAGATAGCAATCGTCGATCTGCGGCACCATCTTATGAAATCAGTGCACGGGGAAAAGTCGGACGGGCAACGAAACTTGCGATTTGCAGATTTCTTTCACTCTCGTCAGAATGGTACATTTCCAAACGAAATCGGACACTCACCTCTGGCGCAAAGTCAGCAACATGAGTTTGTTCACGCTCAAGAGCGCCTTTCGTAACGAACATCGGAAAGTAGCAGTTCTCAACGCCGAGTTTCTTTATTTCGGCATCAAAAAATTTCACGATCCCTTCCCAAATCTTGTACGACCAAGGGCGGAAAATATAGCAGCCGCTAACATCGTAATACTCAATCATCTCGGATTTTGTGATGACTTGAGTGTACCATTCTGCTAAATTATCCTCTTTCTTCGCTTCTAACCCAAGCCTCGTCAGGTGTTTCAAACCTGTTGCCTGAAAATGAAAAATCGTTCAACAAGGTATCAATTTTGAAATGTCGATGCTGCAGCCACTGAGCGAACCGTTTCTTCAGCTGGTTTCAGCGCAGTTTTTGGCGGGGCTTTCACATTAGTCTGTGACTTCGGCTTTGACTTCTGCGGAGCTATCAAGGTTTCACCGGTCAGTCCCTGCAGTTGTTTCTTCAGCGTGAGAAGCTTTTCAACCTCCACACCTACTTCAACGGCCGGGGCTTTCGACTCCTTCATTTTTCTCACTTTGTCCCCTTGGTCAGCAACTTGTTTTCTCAATGCAGTCACTTCAGACGAATCACCACCAGCGCTTTGTGGGGGCTGCCGAAAACATGCAAGTACGGAGTAGATCAGTCACGACGCGTTGAATGAAGACTTATACATGTACTATAGAACATGCAAGGAATCAGACTACTACTGATCATTCCGATACGCTTCTCAGAAAATATTAATCTCCACAAACCATTTTCCCAAGATATGCACTATTTTAATCCCCAAGGGTTCTCGAGAACACTACGACTTGCTTTCATTGCACAAAACTTAGCAGAGAACAAAATGAGGTCAACAGAACTTACTCCAGAAGGAGAGTCAGGTTTCCACTCCGCACCAGTGGCATCTTTGTACTCAGCTTTCAAAGCAAGCAATTTTTTGACTTCAGCATCAATTGCTGCTTTATCGGCCTTCGCTGCTTTCAAGTCACGCACCTTGTTTCCCTGCTTAGCAATCTCAACGCTGATAGCGTCCGCGTCACGAGATTTCGAGGATTGTTCAACTAAAGGGGACGCATTGGGGCTCCAGTCCGAACCAGTCGCCGTTTTGTATTCCGCTTTCAGCACAAGCAGAGCTTTAACTTCAGCATCGATCGTCGACTTGTCCGCTTTCGCAGCTTTCAGCTTGCGAACCTTGTCGCCTTGCTCAGCAATGGCCGCATCGAGAGCTGATGCAGTCCTGGCTGGTGCTTCCATGGCACTCGGCTTCCACTCGTTTCCTGTTCAGTTTCGTTTTCACAATTACCCTTTTGAACTTCGAGGAATTTAAGATTGGTAGAAAGAAAAATACAACACGCACGTCCGGGAATTAAGATAATCTTATCGAAGAGCCTTACAGTCAACCAAATTTATATTACAAAAGCTTTAACGGACGATTTCAAGTCCCTCGACACTAGAAAGCGATTACCTAAGAATTTTTTTGTCTTCCGACGAAATTTAATCAATTTAACGAATGAAGTTCCGCTCAGAAGTACTCACCTGAGATCTTCTTGAATTCCGATTTCAATTCCAGCAATCGCTTGATTTTTGGGTCCAGCGCAACCTGGGGAACGAGTAGCCTAACTTAACAAGCACCGAAAGAAACAAAAATCACACAAACAGACCTTTTCGACTTTCTTTGACTTCAAAGCTCGGATTTCATCCCCTATGGCCCGAATGTCCGCATCTATTTGCGCACACGCACGGTCACCGACTTTTTCCGCGCTCACTTTAGACGCCAGTGGTTGCGCTCGCGGGGACGCGGAGGTTGGAATTTCCGTACAACCCTGAAACCCAGTCAACAATTTTAACAAATTTAAACTCTACGCGCTATCGCGCTAATTTCAGGGCAACCCAGGCTCTCAGATAAGCTACGCGTGCGCAGGCAAAACCCGCTTAATCATGGCACCGGCAACTACGGGAGAACACAAGGTTGCATTCAAACGTCGGACTAGTGCATCAAATGAAAAAACTATATCGTAATGTCTTGCGCAGAAACTCAAGTGGGAACCCACAGTAGCAGCAGCTTTCAACGTCTTCACCCAACCGGGATCGTCTTTTCCATCTGGAATGTAGTTGAGCACCAACGGTTCTTCAATGCAAGTGAATTTACTGAAAAATAAAAGAAACTTTCGAGTGACAGTGCTGTACTGTACAATATTTCCCGGAACTTGGAAGCAAGCATCTGATTTCTTCTTGTATCATGACACAATGCAGTGGATATTGTACTGTACTCCATACCAACAAGTAGAAGCGAAACATCTGAATAATTTTAAAGCTGGAACCAGAGCATGTTGAACATACAAGAGAAGATCATTCGCTGCCCAAATTATCCAGTTGTAAAGGTAACCCTAAACTAGAATTACAAGTTTGAATTCGAAAGGCTTGCTAAGCCTTAAATGTCTTCTGTGCTAGGCGTTTTCGCTTGAACAGAAGTACGACGAAGAATAAAAAAAACAGTCCGGTAAAATAAACCTGAAAGTTACCCACTTGCACGGATTATAGCGAGCATCGCAAATGAAGAATCCCACTCTCTGGACTTGCACAATATCACCCACATCAATATTTCTTATGGCACTTTCTCCGAGGAGTCGCTTCTTCAGCTGAAACAAGCAGAACGAGACATACAGCAAATTTAATCCGCTGACTTTCTCGAAAATTTATTAAAAATTTTACCTTTGTATGCGGATTGATGTAAGATTTGAAATCTTCATCTTTCCCCAAAACTGGCTTTGAAATCACGTTGTCGTAGAACACGCACTCCACTGCAACAGGCGCCGGTTCTTCCAGTTTTGCTAGCCAGGTGATTTTAGGAGTCTTCCTGAAGTCTTCGTCACTTAGATTCGTGGTGGCATCCACACGGACTATCTTTTCCCCGCTCCTTGAGAGAAAACACCGTGAACAAAGTTAACATCCAATTGAAGGATCCAAAATACACGATCAGACATAAGATTTCATGACATTTTACACACGTCGACAGGGGGGCATCACTACCAGATTTCTTCGTTCACAAACCTGTGTATCTTCTTGATGAGGAGATTTCCCCAGTTTATGAAGGTAGCATTTTGTCCTTCCACAAGAATTTCTGCATCTTGGGAATCAATGAGGACGAGTGGTGCAGTAAGAATTGTCTTCTGTTGCCCATCTTTCATTTTCGGATGCAGTGGCACAAATTTCTCGTTAACGGCCAATCTTTCACCATTTGGCGACGAAACTTGAACTTCCACGTGGTCATCTGCCTCTATACACGTGTAGCGCGGGGCAACAGGATCGATGACTTTTTTGTTGAATGCCCAGATTTTATCCCATTCCATAACTACCACAGATCTCGACGATCCTTGGGCGAGAATAAATTGCTTGAGGCCTTCCACAGTTAGCCCGCGACGAAGGATCCCACGAACAGTGGGAAATCTTGGATCATCCCTGAGCACGAACGTCGAAAATACCTTCACAATCATTACGCAACCTAACCGGCGTTCCAAAATTGGAAGGCTTGCTGGGACGGGAAGAAAAAAAACGTGCAACTCACCAGCCTTCAACGATATGATTCTCAACGAGCCACCTTAAGCGACGCTTCGACAATACAGTGTTCGTCATATTGAGGCGAGCATACTCGTAAATGAATGGCTTCCGTAGGTTCAATGCATCAATGATCCAAAAATACTGTTCATCTCGGTCGTGATATTCTGTCGTACGAAGCGCATGTGTAACACCTTCTAGACTGTCGACAATGGGGCAGGCGAAGTCATACGTTGGATAAACTCTAGGAACGGGCCAGAATGCTACGCGTTGAAATCACGGTCTCGCATAGGAATAACAATTTTTCGCACTTGTATTTGTCACCAGTTTTTGGATGAGGCTGGGGTTTGCAACGATAAATAGTTGGGTCTCTCATGCACCCATTCGGAGAATCCATCGCTATTTTCAGTCTCACGCAGCACTGCACGCCAATTTCCGAACCTTTCTTCATTTCTTCCCATAAACTTAAGTTCTTTTCGACACCTGTTTTCGACAACCAGACACAGATCTGAGAGCACGCACGGGAAATTTCACAAAAAAAAGAAACTCACTGTTGTTCCGATTTCTTGATTCTATCATCTGTTCGCGCTCCTGCTTCATGCGTTCCGGATCAGTGTCATCAACAAAAGCTTTTCCAGCATTGATGAGTTCTTCACAATAACCAAGCATGGCTTCGAAAAAGTTGCTCGTGAAGGAAAACATGTCGGGTTCAATATTGAGCAAATTAACGTCTTCCAAAATTGCCTATTAATCGAAAACATTCGCATGTCAATATTTTCAGCGCAAATTGCGATTTCTGCTTACATGCTCGAAATCTTCTTTTTCTTTCTCTGGATTGGTATCGTCGAACCTTAAGATCAATTTGCCTTGGAATGACTTCTGGTAATGCTGATTAAGCAGCGCGGCTTTGGCATGCCCAATGTGGAGGTACCTGGAAGAGACCAGATTCGTACAGCGAAAGAAGTCGATCCAGCATCATCGCGCGCTTCGATTCCTTCCCTTCCCTGTTCATGTCAATCAAATTGCACGGACGAGAGATACAGTACAGTACATGCATAAAGAACTCTCACCCGCTGGCTTCAGGAGGAAATCGCACGACAACTTTCCCGATCTCCGCACCTGGAAGCGCTACAAACTTCCCCTCCTCCTTCATCTTTGACGTCGAGGATTTCGGCGCGATGCTCTTAGAACTCGATTTTTTGGACGGCAATGACGGCAAAATATCGGAGAAGACTTTCACAACGGCCTTGTCCTTGCTGACGAAAGTGAACCAACGCTTTAGGTTAAGCCCCGCCTTGGCTAAGTCAAATGACTCGCAACCTGAACAGAATAAAATGGTGGATCACATACCAAACTCAGCCAAAGATACGCCAGAAGATTCAAACTTTACATTTAAGAGCGGCATAAACGTAGTAATCTGCAATAGAAGCTGTATTCCCAGCCAGGTATGTGGAACGACGCAGGCGATCGTCCAAATTGAGAAGCGCATCATCGATATTTTTTCTATGCTTCAGGTTACACTGAGCGAATCCCATCCAGTGATCAACCTGATAAAGAAAAGAAGCTATGTATTTCCAGCAAAAGCAGGACGCAAACTTCAACATTGAGTATACTCACATGCACTTGCTCAAATTCGTCCTGTCCATATAGATGCAAGTCGGTCTTCAGACGAGCGAGGTATCTACAGATCGATGCATCAGAAGTGAGATACTCGGGAGATACTCCTTTGAGCACAGTCGAGTTCCCCCAAGTCCACGCAATACTCTGTCCAGCATCTTCACATAAACTTCTTACTACTAATGAGGCCACGGGAGGATTATCACGCGAGGCGCATAACTCTGACATTTTTGCCGTCGTTTCCTACAGCTCTCCTACGCACAATCACGCGGTCACGACGAAGACCCTCAAAGGCTTTATTAATGCGAATCGGAGGTGATCAAACCTGAGTTGGCATTTCTGGGTGAACCGTCGACATAGTAAGGGATCCTCACCAGGACTCTTATGAGCGACACCTACTTTCACAAGTTCAAAGCTAACAGCAACCGACCAGATCTTCCATCCCGGCGTTGCCAGGATGCAGATAGTTATCGTGATTGGGGAGACGCGTGCCAGAGATGATCTCTGGAGTGTCATTGGAGTCTTGACTTTTGATGAAGAAAGTTGTATTTGATCCTGGGTATTTCTATTGTGACTTTTATTGTGTTGTGACGAGTCTGTGGTGATTGGGAGATTGGACTTATTAAAACTCTCCTGAACAAGTGACACTGGCCGAGGACTTATTCATAAAACCTTATTACATGAAGTCCACTTCAGCCAGGTGTCCTTCGGTGACATCTACCGGAGAATCAATAAATCCCGTTGGATGACCGGCAGAGCCACCTAAGCTCAACATGACGAGGCACAACGGGAGCAGATGAAGAGAACCAGACAGGAATGGAAATGAAGGCATTCTTATCTTGACTTCCAGATCTTTGACATTTATATATTTTTATGTTGTGATTGATGCAACTTTTTTATAGTTGTGTTTTAGTGCTCAAGTACTCATTGGTGTTAAGTAATGTAAATTTTACTGTCAGAGAGGACTTTCAAATTCCATATAATGTCCCTGCAGGCTGAAGTGGCATTTTCTTGAGTGCTGCAACTTGCCAGTCCATCCCATCCAAATGCCTTTCCCTACTTCAATGCCAGTTATGAGTGACTTCGAAAATTCCCAGTATTTTTCAACATTTTTGAGGCTTTTCCAAGATTGCACTAACATAAAAGTTTTAATTATACAGTAGTATGTACTCACCTGAAGTGCTTTCTGAATTCTTTTGAGGTGTTTTTGGGTTTTTTAAATTTTGTAACTGAATTTATTTAGAAAACTCAACATTTCTCTCACAGTTTCAAAATGTCAATGAATGGGTGGAAAACCATTGGCTTCAAAGATGAAAATGTAAGAATAATTTTTCATTCCATTTATAAATTCAGGCATGGTAACTTTGTGAGGGATATTTAAAAGTAGTAATTTCATTTTTTGCTTGAATTTTTTTCATAATATTCACATTCCAGGCATGGTAGACTTCCTGAAAAAAGTTTAGCAGTTGCTATTTAAATTTTAAAACTTGTTTGTGAATTCTTGTGATTGAATTTACTTATAAATCCCAACATATAAATCACAGTTTCAAAATGCACAAGAGCAGGTGAAAACCAGTAGCTTCAAGTTCAATTTAAAAATGTTATCAATTTTTTTTTCAATTTCCAAGCACAATAAACAAACAAATAAAATACTCCTGTATAAGACAACCAGCCTAATTTCTAGGGTCATAAAAACTTCAACTTTTTGTGACCCATTGGAGCAAAATCTATTCATCATGACTACAATTTTTCTGGCATTACTTCAAGTCCAAATACTAACAGCCTTACAACATATACTGTATCTCATGGATTCATAGCACAACACGCCAACTTGCACAGAATAAATGTTCTACCTGAGCCAGGATTGAATTCCAACTCACTGCACAGGATTCTGACACCCAACACAAGAAGCTACAGATACTAACATCTGCAGCTGTCTGCACAGGTGCATAAGTCTATTACTGCAAAAGCTCTATTTTTTTTTTATACTTCGGGACTAAAAGTGGATGCACATCCACTTTTAGTCCTCAGACATAAAAAATTAGGAATTTTGGATATGTGCAGATTTAGTAGTCCTCACACATTCAAAAAATTTAGAAATCTTTCATATGTGTGTGGACTGATGTATCTGCACACATCCAATGGAAACATTTATCTATTTTGACTAATGCAGACAAGTTAGGATTACTTTAGGCCACATTTTGACAAAATTCAGACTAATTTTGGATAACTTGATTAATTTGGATCTGATTTGGAGGGGAAATGGACAACCTTGTGGTCAGTGGGCAGCAAAACAAATTGGGTGTAACAAACCACATGTATGCAATGGATACTATACAAAGCATGGCTGTTTAAATTTGTTGTTCCTTCTGTTGCTGATATATTTACCTTGAAATATATGTTCAAACTGCTATATAAGGAAGTGAGATCAGTGGTGTGGCTTCAAGTACTGTACCTTTATTTCTTAGCAAATACATACACAATTTTCCACATAAAACATTCAATACACAAAGACCAGACAATCTGACAATGACTAGATATCATTGTATATTCATGAATATTGGGAATTTGGGATTTCATATCTTATAATATCTTATAGTTTTTTCTCCAGGTTAAACCAGCTAGCTTAGCACTCTCCTGAAATCCTGGCTATTGAGGCAGAGATAATACTGACTAGAAAGCTTGAACACAAATTCCCTGATCCTAGGAGAGGATCCTGCTGTTATATGCAAACTGGAAAGATGCGGCAGGAATTAATCCTGCCAGTTCATACTTGCATGATGCTTACATGATTTGCAGGTTTTTCGACTTGAAAGATCCTGGCGAATCACCCAAAGAAGAAGGGGTGAAACCAACCATTATCATTCTTCTGGAAAAAGGGGAGACTAGAGTTACTTGCAGGTTCTTGTGCAGAACCTGTTGCTCACAGAAAGTCTGAATATCTATGAAGAAGATATTACAGCAAAAGAAAGAATAAAGCAAGCTACTCTATATTTGGAGATTCTTAATCCTGTGCTGTTGTCATTTCTTGGAAGGGAAATTATCTTTTTAGAATTTTTTCCTTTTAGGGAAAATACCTGCACCTTATAAAAAGGGGAAAATGAATAGCTAATGGAAGATGGTTGATCTTCTCTATTGATCTGAGAGAGTACACAAAGTGTGATCTCTCATGAGTGTGGCAAAATTGGGGTTTACCCCTTCTATAGGATCATCTTTGCTATGCCCACATTATTTGCTGAGTATAACAATAATATCTTTACCACAATAATCTAATTAAGTAGCACATTTATAATGAGATAACAAGAGGCTTGCCAAAAGAAGAATCCTGTTCATTGCAACAAGAATTTTGTTTTAGAAAATTTATAATGAAATATCAAGAATTTTGTTATCATGCAAATTTTGTTGGTTACAATGAGCATAACATCAGTTATTTAGAGAGAATTGTGTTCATAATGAGAATCACATTATAACAAATATATTATTATAAGTGAGCATTTGTGTGTGTTGCAAGGATGACTTGGTGCTAATTAACAATCTTCTAATTTCCTTGGTTTTCCTAAAATTTTGAAAATTATAACAATTGCAGAATCAAAATCAAACTTTAAGCCAACCACTAACTGTAAAGTACATGCAGAAATTATTCTTGGCAGGGAAGTTTGAGAAGTATTAACAACATTTTAAATTAATGTTACCTTGTCATCACTGCAACCCACAAAGATGTGTTGCATCTAAGCATCTTATTCCATTTACTAAAAAATCAAGCATTCAATCATTTTAAAAATGTCACCATATACTGTAGATGAAACATAACATTGTACAAACCAAAAATTTCAATTGTTTTAGCTCTCATGAACATTTTTCACCTCATTGTGTAAAACAAAGGAGAAACTTGGGCAGTATACTCAAAAGTTCTCACTTTTTGTTCTGCAGTGTCATGAAAAAACTCTAAAAAAAGCAAATGTGCAAAAAAAGTTGAAAAAGTTATATGTTAAAAATTTTAATGGCATTACATTTATAATGGACTTTATTATTACTTATTGTGAACATAATTAGCTCAAGGCCTTGAACAGCTATCCAAATTTTGAAAAACAAATATTTTATATTCCTGTAGAAATAGGGGAAAGTTTATGTATGTTGTGATATTTTCTAAATATCAGGGGAGATTTGTTCATGCTTCAAGTGTCCCCAAGTCATCCAAGGTGCCCGTATAGCCGTATTATATCAGGGTCTCACTGTATATGCATGCACATGAGTAAATTTGGTGGAAAATCTGACTTATTGAGACATGCTTCTAGAAAAACACGTTGACAAATTCTTAGATATTGATAATTTTCAGCCATCACATATTGTGATTGGGTGAAGACATTATGCGTCTGAATGCATTTGCTTTGTATTTCGTGAGCATATTTGTTGAAACTTCTATTTGAAGAAATTATAAAAAATGAACTCCGAATAGCTTAAATAATTTCCCATCTTGAATTATTTCAGGCATATCTGGGACTTCGAAATACGATATTAAACAAGCCTGAGCCTCACACCGGGACCTTCTGGCCGACAAGGTACATCTGATCAATACACCGGCCGGTGAGACTAGTGTAGACGACACAGCATGTTCTCCCCAAAAGGCACTCCCAGGAGTTTGTCTTGCCGGGGCACTGTGTACTCCGGTGGGTGCCATGTCGTCCGGGGGGTCTATTTGAATCCGCGGAGTGAAGTTCTGCGGTAAACACTTATGCGGTGGTTCATTCAGCAACATTCAGAGGAAAGTCAGACAGAGCTTTTTTTCTGCATGCGTGGTGAGCTGCTCTAGGAATTTATTCGGAAACAGCACAAGTGGCAGCATACAATCACTCTTCAAGGAAAAGCAGGCCTAAGAATTTCGTCATCCAGGAAACAAAAGTCCACGTATTTTGATCAGGCTTACTTCAAAACACTCATTTGAACGCAGGAAGCTACCTGGCATTCACTCGCACCGAGACTTTAATTTTATAATGTTTTGCCATTCAGGTATAATCATGAATGAAGTCTTACTCAGCAACAGAACAAATTTTCCTCGTCAAAATGCGATTGGATTATTCTCAGGGCCTACTAAATTGAACTACTATGGCCTATCTATAAAGAATTCGTGTGCTTTATTTACAGTGAGGGTTTTCGATTCGTCGCTCCATTCACGCGAATATAACTAGGCATGCTGGATTCAAATACATTCCACTATTCATTCCGCCATCAGACAACATATTAAAAAACCGAACAAGTATTTCAGTGACAAAATATCTTTGAACGCAACGTCTGGCAACGATGCATTTCCAACAGAGAATCCCCTTTGAATTTC